CGACGGCGACGGCGGATGCGACGACGACGGCGGTGACGGCGACGGCGGCGACGACGACAACGACGACGACGCCAGCGGCGGCTGCGATGGCCGCAGCGGCGGCGGCAGCGGCGACGACGGCGGTGGCGACGGCCGCAGCGGCGGCGGCGACGGAAGCGACGACCGTGACGGCGACGGCAACGACGACGATGACGACGACGGCGGCGGCGGCAAGAGCGGCGGCGGCGACGACGGCGGCAGCGGCGACGACGACGGCGACGGCGACGACGACGGCTGCGGCGACGGCGACGTCGACGACGGCGGAGACGACGGCGATGACGACGGCGACGGCGACGACGACGACGGCGACGGCGACGGCCGCAGCGGCGGCGACGGCGGCGCCGACGGTGACGGCGACAGCAACGACGACGATGACGTCGACGACGACGACGGTGCGACGGCGGCGGCGACGACGACTGCGACCATGACGACGACAACGGCGACGGCGACGGCGGCGACGGCGGTGGCGAAGACGACGACGACGACGACGGCGGCGGCGGCGGCGACGATGAGGACGACGACGGCGGCGGTGGCGATGTCGGCGACGATTACGACGAGGGCGGCGGCAGCGACGACGGCGACGACGACGACGACGGAGACGGCGGCGGCGACGACGACGACGACGACGACCACGGCGGCGACGACGTTGGCGACGACTACCACGATGACGGCGCTGGCGGCGACGGCAACGACGACGACGACGCCGGCGGCGGCGACGGCGGCGACGACGATGACGTCGTCGACGGCGATGCCGACGGCGGAGGCGACGAAGACGACGGCGACGGCGGCGGCGACGATGACGACGGCGGCGACGACGACGACAAGGACGAGGACCAGGACCCTGTCCTGTCCAGTTTAAACAGGACTCGCTGTCGGTGTCGTTGCGGGCGTTTCCCATGCGACACAAAAGCCGCCTGCCCAACAGCGGCCGCTGCTGTTTTCTGGCAGCATCTGCTGTTGGGCGTCGTACCCCGTTTTCCCGTATCGATTTCGGGCGTCCAGAAGGGACCCGCCCGCTTTCTCAGTGTGAGCCTTACAGGGTTCACCCTGCGGTTCTGATGTTCCGACCTACTTTTACTTTGATCACCAGAAAAAAGTTTCGAGCACCAAAAAAGTACCGAAACTCAAGGGTTTTCACGTGTCGGGCCCTGGGAGACTCGTCCGGCACTGTTTCGACACTGTTTCGAGATTTGTCTGGCTATCAGGGCGCCTATCGTTAAGTCGGGCATGTCCCTCGACAGGGGGAATATTCCAAAATAGTTAAAAAATTGTCTGGGGACGAATTGTTGAGCATGTTTGAGCCATGTTTTATTTTTATTGGCCTATTTTTTAATTCTCGCCCACAATCCCCCTGTATATCGGCGATGCATCGCCGATTCAAGGTCGGTGTTCCCCGGCCCCCGTTGCGCCAGTCCCCCCTCGGGACCCCTGGGACTCCGTAGCCATTTTGGCCCAAGCGGGTGCATGGCCTCGCCCGCGCGCGCCCCCTCCTCGGCGAGGCGCGGCTGCGGAATGTCGGGGCCTAGAGGGGCTCCCTCGGCCCAGCTCGGCGCCTTGGTCGAGGCCGCCGTCCGGGCCGCGGTCGCCAACGAAGCGCCGCGGCGCACTGTCGCCGCCGTCGCGCGGTCGGCTGTCTCCGCCACGCTTTTTGCGTGCGGGGACGCGCCGACGGCGGCGGCCGCGCGTGACGCTGCTACTGCCCCTGATGCTCGCGCGCCTCCTGCTGCACCGCCTGCCGCCTCCTCGGCCAAGGCGGGGCGGCGGAGGCGCAGACGCGGCCGCCTCGCGGAGCGGCGTGCCGAGGAGGCGTTCCCTGCTGCTGGCGCGGCGTTCGAGGGCGCCGCAGTCGTGACGGGTCCTGCTGCTGCTGCTGCTGGAGCGGGCCCTCGGCCTGGTCGAGCCGCCGTGGAGGCCGCTGTCGACAACACGATGTTCGAAGACGCCTGGGCCGACGGCCTGGTGCTGCCTTCGCCACCCGCTGCGGCGGAACAGCCTGCTGTTGCAGCCGCCGCTTCGGGCGGGCCGCCGCCCTCGCCTGCTGCTGCCGCGGGCTCGCAGGTCGAGGGCGTCGTGGCCCCGACCTCGCCCTGCAGGACGACAGCTGGGCCGACCAGCTCCCCACGCGCCGCGCGGCGCCCGCCGTGGAGGCGCTGCGCCTTGCCGCGGCGGTTCCTGGTGGAGCTGCTTGTGCTGGGGCTGCCGCTGCTGCCCCCCCCGACGGCCGTCTCGCGGACGACGTGGAGAATGAGGCGTGGCGGCAGGCGGTGCGCGCGCGGGCGGCGGCGATCGTGCGAGGCGCAGGGTGATCGTCGTCCTTTTCACTGCCCAGCGGTGTCCTCGCCCCCTGTCGCACGGCCGTGCGTTGATGTCTCCCCTGCGGTGACAGTTGCTCAGGGGGCCGCCAGCCATTCTGTACAGGTTGTGCGGCAGGCACGGGGGGGGGAATTGCTCTCCCCGACCGTGTGCCCTGCTGAGGCGCTGGACTGTTTTTATTGCTCTGGCCACGGGGCTGTCGCCCGTCGTGTGGCCAGCGCCTCTTAGCCCATGGGGCTGCTGGAGGTACTCTTTCGGTCAGTGTGGTCTCCGTCACTGCCAGCAGCGGTTTCCCAGCCGCCGCTGCGGTGTTCGGCTGTGCGTGCGCTGGGCTCAAAAAGAAGGGAACCTTGGGACGGGGGTCGACGCAGACGGGGGCCAGCCAGGGCGTCGGATTTTGCAGGATCCTACAGGGCCAGGGTCGCACTGACCCGGGCTCGGGTGCAGGATCCTGCAGGATCCTTCGCATTGGCCCAGGTTTGGGTGCAGGATCTTGCAGGATTCTGCAAGGCCTGACTGACCCGGGTCTGGATTGACCGGGGTCGGAAAATCCCCGACCCCCCTATCCGCTCGTCCTTTGGTCGAGTTGTGTCGACGTTCGGGCCTCAGCTCCACGTAGCTGCGGCCTGTGGAGGGCGCCTGCGCGGCTCACCCAGGGGTGCGGGGGGGTCAAGGCGCTCGGTGCTTCGTGCGATGCGGAGTGCGACGCCCAGGAGAGAAAAACACACGCAGACACAACGAACCGCCGATTCCCAGGGAAATATGGGAACTATGGACAGTCGGGGGAAGATGAGAACCTAAAACATATGGAAACAGATGACCAAACCTTGGACTTGTGTTCATGTGATGCGAGAGTCTTACGGCCGGTGCCGCCGACCCTGGAGGCCTCGGGCCTCGACGGAGATGGGAGGGAGAGGGCGGGCCATGTGCCCCGAGAGGGTGGTATTCGGACCCCGGACCACCCCCTTGGGACATCCCCCGGGACCCCCCCCTTTTCTTCCGCGGGGAAGGGATCAAAGGGACGGGGCTCCCCTTCGACTCAGTGACAACATGTTTCCATTTCGCTGCGGACGGGCGGGTGTACTGGCTGGCGCGTTTGAGGGCGAGTGCCCAAGGAAGGGGGAGGGAGCGGCGACGGACTCCGGGGAAGGGGGGGGGGCGTGATTCAGGAGGGAAAGGAACACACAGACACAATAATCGTCGATTCTCCAGAGAATATTGGAACATATGGGAAGTGAAGGGAAAGACAAAAACCCACAAAGTATTAGAACATGTGGGGGATCTTGTTATTTGTGTGTATTTATTTGTGTGTCTCATGGCCCCTTCAGTGATGGCGGCGGCGACGTTTCAGAAGTGAGGCGTCCCAGGCGGAGGGTCCACGGCACGCCGTGGAGAGGCCCTCTCCCGCTTCCCCCGTGGACTCCCGCTTCCCCCGTGGACTCCCGAAGCCCTTGCCCCCTCCCCCTCACCATGCCCTCCCTCCCCTCCTCTCCCTCTTCCCCATCCCCTCCCCCTCCTCCCCTCCTACCTTCCCCTTTCCTTCCCCGTTCCCCTCCCCCTGCACGATTACACCATATGAATACTACTTTCCTCTCTCCCCTAGTGACGTCCGGGAGATGGTCGGCCCTCCTTTCCGCGTATTGTTTTTTTTGCACGGGATTCACGGGAGTTGGGTTTTCGCTTGGGTTTTTGCTTATGTTGTTCCCGCTGAAGCGTTGGCCTCATTTTCGGGCTTCCGCTCGTTCCGAATCGTGCCCCCGCTGCAGCGTTGGCCATTTCCGCGCTCCCGCTCGTTCCGAATCGTGCTCCCGCTGCAGCGTTGGCCTCATTTCCGCGCTTCCGCTCGTTCCGAATTGTGCTACCGCTGCAGCGGTGGCGTCATTATTTCCAGTGCCATGCCACGGCATGCAATGCAATGCTATGTAGTGTTCCGTTGTGCGATGCCATGCCTTCAGTTGCAATGCTAGGATATGCAGTGCTTGACTACGCATTGCCACGACATGCTATGCCCTATGTCTTGCTACGATTTGATCTTCAACGCCATGCTCCGCTGTGCGATGCAATTCTTTGCGTTGCAATGCTTTGCAATGCAATTCTTCACTACGCAACGCCACGTCATGCTATGGCATACTACGCTCTGCTGTGCTCCTCCAAGCCCTGCTATGCCGTACTCTACGATGCATCGCGCACCTTCTCGAGATCATCGCCCTGCTCGACATCCAACTGTGCGAATTGAGATGATATCTACGCCATGGCAAGGGATAGGAGGGAGGGGTAGGACGTCAGTCTGATATGACGCGAGCGCACCTAGCTCGTCTTCCCCCCCTCCCCTTCCCCTTCCCTTCCCCTCTCCCCCCTCCCCGACGAAAAAAAGAAACCGTCAGAAACATAAACTTTGGGCGCTCCGCGCGGATTTCTTGGATCCGTGCTGGGCCCCCCGGCGGCGCCTCCAGCGCCACCCTTGGCGCGCTCCGCGCGCCAGGGAGGGGGGTCCAGCGCAGATCCAAGAAGTCCGCGCGGAGCGCCAAAAGCTTATGTTCCTGCCGTTGTTTCTTCTTCTACCTTCCCCTTTCCCACCCACCTACTCCGGCCGCCTGTTCCACCCCCCCTCCCCCTCGAGCCCTCTCCTTGCCTCCCTCACGATGCAGCCGTTTCGGCTCCATGTTTCGCCACTGCAATTACGTTTCTCCATTTCACTGGGCTTTCAGATGAGATCTCTACGAAGAGCTGAACATGCGTTGGTCGCGGGAGATCGGGTGGCGCCAACCAGCCACTTACACCGATCGTGGCCAGACGATCTTGGGCCCCTCCTGGCCAAGCCAGGAAGGCGTATGCACTGATCCCGGGACCTGGATTGACCTGGACAGGATCGATGCGCGTGTATGGTTGGCGTTTTCCCGTGAAGACCCCTGCTCCACCCACGAGCCAGCTAGTCCGACACTCCCCGCCCCTCCTCCCCCTCCTCCCTCCCCCCTATCCCCCTCCCCCCCCCCTCCCCACGCTTCCTCCCTGTTCCTCCCCTCCCCGCTTCCCCCTCCCCCTTCCCCCCTTCTTCTCGCTCCCGCTCCGGATCCCACTCTTCCTCCTCCTCCTCCTCCTCCTCCTCTTTCTCTCCTTCCTCTCCCTCTTCCCTGCCTCTCTCGCGAGGGATGGGAAAAGGGCTGGGCAGACCAGCACTAATCCGGGGAGCTGTGGGCTGCTGTGGTCCTTACTCGCCCCCCTGGGACTCTTGCGTTTTCGGCACCCCTCTGAGGCGATCGGCACGATGGGCCCCCTTCAGGGGAGGGCAGGGAGGGCCATGCTGAGCTGTGGCCGGTCGGTGAGGAGTGTGGAGTCGAGGGCGCTCTCGAGGGCGCAAAGTTCTTCGCGCTTCGCGGTTCGGGGCTCCGATTCTTTCTCCTCCTCCTCCTCCTCCTCTTCCTCCTTTCTTCCTCTGGGGGGCGGCGCGAGAGCGCAAAGGTATTCGCGCAGTGCGAAGCGCGAAGTTAAGTGCCCTTGTGGAGTGGACCGGTGGGCGCGGCAGGGGTCTGTCAGGTGGCCGTCCGTGCCGTTCTGCTCACTGCTGCAGCCGTGCCCGCGGCGGCCCTGAATTCGAGGACGGACCTGAGCACAAAGCACGCCCTGAGATCCCAGACGGACCTGCTGTACAGCGCCGAGCTGGACAGCGGGTCCGACGGCAGCCTGGAGCGAAGCCGCGTGGACATGGACTCCCGGGCAGCTCAATCCCTGGCCGAAGCGGGAACCCTTGCCCCTTCCGTGGGAGGGGGGGGCAGGAAGGACGGGGGGGGAGGGATGGAAGGTGGAGGAGAGGGGGGTGAGGGGGACGAAGTGAGGAGGAGGGGAGGGGGAGGGGAGTGTGGGTGAGGGGGGGAGGGAGGAGGAGGAGGAGGGGGAGAGGGGGAGGAGGGGGGGAGGGGGGGAAGAAGGGGAGGGGGGAGGGAGGGGAGGGGGGATTGGTGCCGCCACTTCTGATTGATCTGGGCCCTCCTGCTCCTCTCCTCCTTCCTCCCTCCTCCTCCCTCCCTCCTCCCCTCCCTCCCCTCCTCACCTGCTCCCTGCTCCTCTCCTCCCCCCTCCTCTCCTCCCTCCTCCCTCCCTCCTCTCCTCCTCCTCTCTCCTCCCTCCCTCCTCCTTCCTCCTCCTCCTCCTCCTCCTCCCCCCCTCCTCCTCCCCTCTCCCCCGCCTCCTCCCCCTCTTCCTCCTCCTCCTGCTCCTCCTCCTGCTCCTCCTCCTGCTCCCCCTCCTCCTCCCCCTCCTCCTCCTCCTGCTCCTCCTCCTTCTCTTCCTCCTTCTCTTCCCCGCAGGGAAGTCACCGGAGTGAACGGAGGAGTGTATTCCTCCGATTCGATTCGATTCGATTCGAATTCGATGGCTTCCGATCCCGATCCGATTCGACTTCGGATTCGGGTCTGGATTCCGATTTCTCAGTGAGGCCCCACTACTCTGTCGATTTCCGCCGATTCGACGTTTTCCGATTCGGCTGCCGATGTCCGCCGATCCGATTGATTTCGATCGCCGATCGACTTCTCGATTCGATTATGGGCTCTCCTGCTCATCTGAGGTCGACTCGGAGCCTTCGCGCGGATCGGGCCTCCTGGGTCTTGTTGCGGGCCTCCAGGGCTCGTCCCCCTCCCCCTGCGCCCTCCCCTTCCCGCGCGGAGCAGGGCACTTTTGGGGCCTCTGGGAAAGCCCTCGTCACCACTGCTGAATCCCGTGTCGAGGCTCTGGTCAGAGCGCGCTTCAGGGCGAGTCCAGGGCCGTTGTTGTGGCACGGTACTTCGCAACACAATGTTATAAATGACTCGACATTTGAAAGAACAGCGCTGTACCGAGCATGCATCCCATGCGTCTCTCGCATGCACCTGGGGTGACAGCGGCCGATCAGAACTGGGATATTGGTGTGATTATTGTTGCTTGCCAGATGCGCAGTCAGAGCAGCCTCGTCAAACTCATATTCCAGCATGATGGCTAAAGGAACATTTGAAGCATATTGTGCCACACCGCAACCAGGTCAAACGAACGCACACGCCAGCAATATGCATGATCGTCTCATGCTACGTCAATTTCAACCATCAGAGCACGCATGCAAGTACACATCACCGCACTACGTACGAATAGTACAATTGGACTCAGGATAACCGAACCAAGCATGCCAACAATGCAAGGCACCACCTCCAGCACTAGGACACGGCACATGATGTTTCCATTCGCATGTCAAGAGCGTTGTTTTACATGGATCATAGTTCACGGTGTGTCCACACCCGGCTCCGAACAATCCATCCGAAATTATCAAGCTGCTTGTGGCAATGCCCGCCACCGTGCTTGTGCATCAGCGCTGCACAAAAGAGATTCAGTGTAGGAGCAGCACAATTCCGACAACTGGTCTGAGAAGGACGGGCGTACATTCGACCTCGTCTTCGCCAGCGCGGTAAGAAGATGGTAGAGTTCACACCCCACGGCAGTTCAGGGAGTGGTCTGAACTGGGGACGGACGTGATCTCGATATCGTTTTCGTCCGCGCGGTAGGGCGGAATTGAGGAGAGAAGGGAGGAGGAGGAGGAGGAGTAGGAGGAAGAGGAGGAGGAGGAGGAGGAGGAGGAGCAGCAGACTGAGGAGGAGGAGGAGGAGGATGAGGAGAAGGAGGAGCAGCAGACTGAGGAGGAGGAGGAGGAAGAGGAGAAAAGAGAACAGAAGAGAAACGACGAGAAGGGAACGCTTTTTGGAACCTTCTTCCTGGCGCCTCCTGGGGGCCTTCCGAGGGCTGCCTGGGGTGCCTCTTGAGGGCTTCTTGGGAGCCTCCTGGGGCCTCTCGGGGGGCTCTTGGGGCCTGTTAGCTGTCTTGGGGGCCCATCCTGGGGCGTCTTGGTGCCCTCTTCGAGCGCTTTAGGGCCTTTTGGGGGCCCTCTTGGGAACCTCTTGGGCGATCTTAGGGTCCTCTTGGGCCGACTCGGGGCTCCCTTGTCGGCCTCATGGGCTGTCTTAGAGCTATCTTGGAAGCCCCTCGTGGGCCATCTTGGGCGGTCCGAAACCTAACTAGGCGAGAACCTCAAATCAGTCAACAAAATCAACCTCGGGATCTCCTGGAGTGTCTCTCGGAGCCTTCTCGGGCCGTCTTTGGGGCATCGTCGGCCGTCTGGTGGCCGTCTTGAGAGCCTCTTGGGCCATCTTGGGCTATCCTGGTGTCATCTCTTAGCGGTCCTGGATGCGCGGTTTCCCCTGGTGCCGTTTTTGGTTGTTTTTGGCGCTTGTTTCAGGCAGGTGGAGCCTCCCCCAGAGGCAGCATTCTTGCAAACAGTCTCACTAAGCAGAGGTATAGAGCCAGATCCCACCCTCCCCCCCCTTTCCGCCCAATGTCAAAACGCCGACAAAAAAAACGCTCACATTCCAGCGCGCCCACGCCATGCATGCAAGTTTCGGCGTCGAGCCAGGGGGGGAAGTGAGAGGGAGAAGGCCCCCTTCGAAAGGTGGCGAGACTTCTCAGAAGCCCTCGCAACTTCTGAGAATTTTTCTGTGCCTTCGGGGGAAGGCTCAGAAAACTTCTTCAGAAGGGCAGGGGACTTCCGAGCCTTCTGAGAAGGCCCACCTCTTCCCGCTTCCTCCCGGATGCGCCGCCTAACGTTGGCGGATCGCCACTTCCTCGCACTGCTATCGTAGCCACGGTCGGTGCCCTGGGCCCGCGTGCACACCAACCGTCCTGGCCGAGGCCGGGAGAGGCGCCCACACAAGGCCAGGGCCTTGGGTCGGGCATGTCCTCCTACAGGAAAAACTAAGAATTGTCCAAAGATATCCCAGAGCATTCAAAACGCAGTAGAAAATCGTTCCCATTTTCTTTTTGGGCTATATTTGAATTTGAGGGACATGCCCGACTGAATTCCTACCTCCACGGAGTCGTGCCTTGGAGCTTCACGTGCATGGATATCGGCCCGCCCATGGTCGGCGTCGAAGGCCTCCTCAGAAGGCCTCCTCAGGAGGCTCGGAGGTCCCCTGGCCTTCCGAGAAGCTTTCCGAGAAGCCCGCCCCGAAGACGCAGAAGAAAAGGCCTCTCAGATGAAGGCGCGAGGGCTTCTGAGAAGTGGTTCTCCTTGCCGGACACCTGGCTTTGTCATTGCGTTCACGTTTCCATGCCGTGAGCCCCCAGAGTTCAAGCCCAGGGATTTCCTGGGCATGGTAAGGCCCCGCACCTGCTCGAAGCAGGCACCAGAACACAGCCAAGATTCACACCATGTCAAGCGATGGCGAAGAGTCCTGGCTCTCCGAATTACAGGCCTACCAAAGAATGTGTTAAAAACCGTTTGTGGTTTCCACGAAATGTTCTTAGATAATTTCTGGCTCAGACTTTCTTGGTGTATCACATCGGGCTTATGTTCTAAGAATTTGTTTTGCTATTAGAACATTGGGTTCTAAGAACATTTGTTGGTAGGCCCATCGGAATGCCGGAACGGTCGGTCCCTGCTCAACCATGAGTCGGTATCTTTTGACAGATCCCCATCCCCATCCCCATCCCCTTCGAGACGCCCACCTAATGACCACCCCAGTTGGGGATACCCCTCGAAACCCGAAGGGGACGACCTATATCCCCATCTAGAGGGGTAGATCGGCCAGTGGGGCCCAGGCCACGCCGCTGGGGATGGGGATCGGTTCAACGATACTCAATTGGGGGGGGAGGGGGTGCGAGGGCCCGCGCCGATCAGCTCAAGAGTGCAGAAGAAAACGACGGTCATCGTTGTCTTCTTCCTCCCCCCACGAGGCGCACTGCTGCAACAGAGTCTCGCCCGTGGGACCCAGGACGAGCAGGTGGGTCTCACCCCCCTGTTGCAAACAGTCGCACCGGGCAGAGGTCCGGAGCCAGACCCCCCCCCTTCCGCCCAATGTCCCCCCCCCTTCCGCCCACTGTCGAAACGCAGAAAAAGAGAACGTTCCCATGACGCGCCTCTCGAGGAGCAGTGTGAATTGACATCGGCCCGCCCATGGGGGGAGGAAGGTCTCCGAGGAGCCACCGCTCCGAGAAGGCCTTCTGAGAAGTCCCGCCACCTTCTGAGAAAGCCTTCTCCTCTGCACTTCCCCCCCCCCGCGCTCGCCGACGACACGGGGGAGGACAGCGAAGAGGAGGAGGAGGAGGACCAAGGAGGGAGAAAAGAGGACACCCGGCACGAGAACGGTGGGAAGCCGTCAGGTCCACACACTCCTCCTCCTTCTCCTCCTCCTCCTCCTCCTCCTCCTCCTCCTCCCCCTCCTCCTCTCTCCTCCTCCTCCTCCTCCTCCTCCTCCCTCCTTCTCCTCCTCCTCCTCCCCCTCCTCCCTCTCCTCCTCCTCCTCTCTCCTCCTCCTCCTCCCCGTCCTCCTCCCCCTCCTCCTCCCCCTCCTCCTCCATTCCTTCTCCTTATAGATAACTCCTCCCTGTCGCACCCCGAGGCCAGTTTCTAGGGCGGGCTGGGCGTTTCGCCTGAGACTTCTTCACCATTTATGATTCGAACGCTTCAAGAGTGAGAACAGGCTCACAGATAGAGGGCGGGTGGTTTTCAAAATGTGGCTCTCGCCTTAGCGCCGCGCACATTCGTTTTAAAGATTTACAAGAGTTTCCCGAATTGAGGGCGGTTCCTTTCCAAAATGTGGTTCTCGCCATAGCGCCGCGCACATTCTATTCAAACATTTGCAAGAGCTTCACGGATTGAGGGCGGTTCCTTTCCAAAATGCGGTTCTCGCCATAGCGCCACACACACACACACACACACACACACACTTGTTTTCAACATGTGCAAGAGTTTCACGTGTTCCCATGACAAACGTACCAGAAAGGGTGTGTAGGCAGGATTCTGGATTCTGCGAGCACGACAGTGTTGTTGATGCGTTGTGCCGAAGTCAAAAAATGGCGTTTTGGCACGATTCTGGATCGTCGAGACGCAGCAGCCAGGTTGATACGTGGCGTTGGAATCCCGAGAACAACGTTGGCACGCTTCAGGATCTTCAAACTGTTGTCTTCCAGCGAGGCAGTTCCTTCAATGGAGATGAACCGCTGTAGGGGCCTGCGAGGAGGGAGCCTGGAGGGAGGGTTAATTCCAACATCGTCGATGACTCTTGGGTTTCCACTGGTTCTCCTCCTCCTCCTCCTCCTCCTCCTCCTCCTCCTCCTCGCGCCGATCGGCAAAGACAGGGAGCAGGCACGCGGTGCCAGGCCTCTCGAGGAGCGGCGCGCGTGGACCTCGGCCCGCCCCCGCGGGGGTGGAGGGGGCGGCCGCCGCGCGCCGCCGCTCCCCCCCCGGGAAGGCCCCCCCGGGAAGGCCCCCGCCGCCCTGCCGAGGGGGCTTCCGAGACGTCCCGCCGCCCTCGCTCGGGGGGGGCCTTCCTCCTGCCCCCCCCCTCCCGCCCGCCCGTCGCCCGAGGAGGCCTTCCTCCTGCTCACCTCCCCCCCCCCTCGCTGCTCGAGGGCCCTCCTCCTCCTCACTTCCCCCCCTCGCTCGAGGAGGCCTTCCTCCTTCTCACTTCCCCCCGCCCCCCTCGCTCGCCGCCGAGCACGGGCGCCGGCCCGCCCTTGTTAGGGGGGGGGAAGGTTCAGGTCGGGCATGTCCTCCTACAGGCGGATTGTGGACGAAAAGTCAAAAACGTAGAGATGATCAACCAAGAAACAAGTCAAGGATTTTTGGTGGATTTAATCGAACAAATCGTAGAAACGTCGTCCCCAGGTCAGCTTTGCCATATGTTTGAAGCATCCTCCCGTAGAGGGACATGCTCGACTTCGGGGAAGATCTCCGAGCCACCGCGCCCCCCCCTGGGAGGAGTCTCCCTGAGCAGGGCGCCGACAGCCCGTGGGGAGGCGTACGCACGCCTGATTCCTCCTACTGACGGGCAGGGCCCACCGAGGGAGGTTCCAAGAGCCCTTTGTAGGGGAACAACAAGTGACATAAGCATAACAACTCGGAGGTCCGCGCGAATTTTCTCGGATCGGCGCTGGACCCTCCTCCCTGGCGCGCGGAGCGCGCCAGGGGCGGCGCCGGAGGCGCCGCCGGGGGGGCCCCAGCGCCGATCCGAGAAATCCGTGCGGACCTCCGGGTTTTTATGTTTATGCCACTTTTTGTTCCCCTACTTTGTGGCTCGCACGACGTGTTCCTAGAACCTTCCTGGCTGAGATCGTCCTGCTTTGATGTGTCGGGTGTGCGCTCTGAGAACATTGTGTTCGTCAGGGGCAACGATCGGGGGGGATGCATCGACCCCCGATCGCCCATGGATCGCCGATAGGGGCCCCATAGCCCCAACCCGCCCAGGAAGGTGCGGATTCGCTATCGGGGGCCTATCGCCGATCTATCGGCAACGTATCGCCGATTCCAGGTCGAGGCATCCCCCCCTATGCCTACTGCCCCCTAACGTTGCCCCTCGGTTTGTTTTACGAGGATGATTGGGTTATATGAAACATTACGTGGTAGGCCTATAGGAATACCCGGGCGGTCGGTCCCTGCTCAAGTTCTCGTCCTGGGTGTCCTCTGCTTCCGGAGAAGACGAGCGAGCAGGAATGCGGGGGATGGGCCTGGCCACGGCCGCTGGTGTGGCCCCTGGCGGTTTCCCACCGTTTCCGTCCTGGGCGTCCTCTTCTCTTCTTCCTGTGGCGGCGAGCGCGGGGGGGGAAGTCAGGAGAAGAAGACCTTCTCAGGAGGTGACGGGACTTCTCAGAAGCCCTCGCGCCTTCTGAGAGGTATTTCCCGTCTGCGGGGAAGGCTCAGGACACTTCTCAGAAATCTGGGGGTCTCACAGCATGGGGCATGGAATCGTGAACACTGTGACAAAGCCAGGCGTCCGTCAAGGAGGACCGCTGCAGCCACGTACGGCTTCGGCATCGGCCTGAAGCGTCCTGGCCGGTCGAACCACGCTGGCATCGGCGAAAAACAATTCGGGCGGGCGGCAACGCGGGGGGGGGCCTCAATGGGGGGGTGAAGGCCCGCCCCTCCCGAGGAGGCCTTCTCACGTCCGAGCCTCCCGAGAAGGCCCGCCCCTTCTCGCTTCCCCCCCCCCCCCTCGCTCGCCGCCGACCCAGCTTCCCACCGCCGGGCGAGCGAAATGGGCACGGAAAGAATGGGTACAATGCCCAACAGCGGATCCTGCCCGTTTTGAACAGGATTCGCTGTCCACGCCGACGCGGCCTTTGTCCATTCGAGACAGAAGGCCGCCTGCCCAACAGCGGCCGCTGTTGGTTTTGGACCACAGTTGTTGTTGGGCATTGTACCCATTTTTTCCGTACCAATTTTTCGGGCGTCCAAAGGCGCGGGGGGTGGGCCATGGCAAGCGGCAGGGTGCGGGCTGAGGTGCACGCGCGCGCTTGGCTCTGCTGTGGCCTCGTCCTCTCTCTCTCTCTCTCTCCTCCTCCCTCCCCCGTCGCCCCCATGCCGTCTGCTCTCTCCCGTCCTTCCTCTCCTCGGTAGCCGCTCCCTTCACCTCTCACGGTCCCCTCCAGACTAACCGTCTTTAATAAGAGCTCGGCGGCTCGAGGGCTCGCCGTCCGAATCCGCAATCATCCCCCGGGGGGTCTTTAAAGACCCTTTGCGTCTGGCCCCATCCCGTTTCGTGGCCATGCACCAGTTTTGGGGCGCTCCTTCACCTTCAGGTGAGCTCGGGGCTGAGGGCTCGGTGACGCTCTCCCCGGCAGAGCGAGCTGCCATGGGTTCGAGGCGGAGTTTGTGGCCGAGCTCGACATGACCTCCGCCGCTAACGAGGGGAAGAGCGTCGGCGTCACGTTCGACATGGACACGGATTTCCAGCCAGTGTCGATTCTGAAGGTCAAGAAAAACGGCATCCTCGAGGATTGGAACAGGGCGCACCCAGACAAGGCTGTGATGGTTGGCGATGAGGTAGTCCAGGTCAACGACATCAAGTGGCACGCCAACTCGCAGACATTCGCAGAGCGCATCAAGGGACAGTTCTTGGCCGCAAAAAACAATAAGCCAGGCGCAAAGAACAGGCTGGCTCTTTACATCCAGCGCCCACGGAAGGAGAGAGTGGTACGCTATCAGGCGCAGCGCGAGGATCTGCACAGGAAGCTTTACTCAGCGGAGTTCGATGCCGAGATCTCCATGAAAGGTGTGCTCCCCCGCGAGCCCATTCACCAGGCCATGGGATGGAGGCTGAACTCATCGGTTGACTGGCAGCCTGTCTCAGTCGAAAAACTTCGGGCTACTGGTCTTATTGCCAAGTACAACAAGGAACATCCCGACGCGAAGATTCGTGCTGGCGACGAGATCATCAAGGTAAATCATATCCAGTGGCACCACAGCTCTACTGCCTTCGCTGAGCGCCTCGGGTCGCAGTTCGTGGCGGCGCAGAAGAGGGAGCACTCGGGGTCCTCCGAGGAGAACGTCCTCAAGCTCAGGATACGGAGACCCAGGTGGCGGCCAGGGAATCTACCCCAATCCCCAAGCCAGGTGCTCCTCCCTCCCCCTGGAAGGCTGTGACTGCACACAGCAACCAGCCCTGGCCAGGTTCAGCAAGGGCCGTGGGACGGGCGTACAGGCCCTCTTGTCCCAGACCGCGAGGGTCTACGTTTAAGTCGAGTCTGTCCCTCTACAGGAGGAAGATTCCAAAATAGTCAAAAAATAGTTGTGGGACGATTTTTTGACACTATTTGAGTGTTTTAGGGCATTTCTTGGGTATTTTTTATTGTTCGCCCCAAATCCCCCTGTAGGGGGACACGCCCGACCTAAGTCTACGTGCACGCCTGTCCGTGGCCCAGGATGGAGGTGGACAGGGCTGGTGATTGTGCCAGGGGTCGACTTTGACTGTGTCTTGGCGATTTCGTGGGCCGTCTTCGCTTCGATCTCGTTTTGCGGCAAGGGCGGGTTGAAGACAAGACGAGGGAGAACGTAAACAGCACGGAGACGACGAACACCGTGTAGGTTAAAGTCCGGCGCGTCCCTCTGCAGGAGGAACATCCAACAGTAGGCAAACAGTTGTCCGGGGACGATTTGTTGAAAGTATGTTTTGATGATTGTTTCAGCATGTTTTATGTATGTTGCATCTGTCGTCCAAAATCTGCCTGTAGGGGGACATGCCCGACCCAAGTGTAGGTCGACCCCTGGACTGTGCACACTTGCGGGCCTCCGACCGACCCCCTTCTAAGCCCGCAGGGTTTTTTTTGTTTTGTTTTATTTTCGACGCAGCGCACCCCGCCCCAGCTCAATTTATGAGCCCTCGGGTCCGGCATGCGTCAGAGCCGGAGGAGGAGGAGGAGGAGGAGGAGGAGGAGGAGGAGAGGAGGAGGGGAAAGATAAGGAGGAGGAGGAGGAGGAGGAGGGGAAGGAGAAGGGGAAGGAGAAAGAGGAGGAGGAGGAGGAGGAGGAGGAGGAGGAGGCCTCCCCCGCTCTCGGGGGGGGGGGGGCGGGCGGCACGGCGGAGGCGGCCTCCCGAGACGGGCAGTGGGCCTCTTCGAGGCCCCGCTGCCCTCGGGAAGCATGCTCAGCAGTCGGGTGGCGCCTTGCGATCGTTTTCTTATTGAATCGCTTCGCTCACTCCGCTGGCCTTGGAGCGCTATTTGAGGCCTCTTAGAGCCGTCTTGGGGGCTTCTTGGGGGCTTCCCGCGAGCGCTTGGGGCGGGAGGGGGGGTAGTCGATTGCAGCCCCCCCCTCGGAGGCCACGATCCTCGTGAGGGGTGGCGAAAAATAGCATCCCCCCCGGGGATCGGCGCCTTGCGATCGTTTTCTTCTTGAATCGCTTCGCTTGTCGCGCCTCTGTCGATTTGGGGATACATTCCTGGGGGGGTCGCAGTGACTGTGGATTTGGTTTCGGGGGTTCGTCGCGGATTCTGGCGGGGTGGTCCAGGGGCAATCGTGGGTGATCACGGGTCTGGTCGGTGATTTGCTTGTGTCGGTGAGGGGTTGATGATTCAGGATGGTCGTTGTGGGGCTATGTCGCAGATCAAAAGTGTTCGTCGCAAGTTTGAGCCTTTCCGTTTTGGAGGGTGGCGGTTTGTGAATGCGACCGCAGGAAGAGGAGGAGGAGAGGGAGGAGGAAGAGGCGGATGAGGAGGACGAGGAGGTGAGGAGGACGAGGAGGAGAGTGAGGAGTAAGAGGAGGAGGAGGAGGAGGAGGAGGAGGAGGAGGAGGAGGAGGAAGGAGGAGGAGGAAGGAGGAGGAGGAGGAGGGAGGAGGAGGAGGAGGAGGAAGGAGGATGAGGAGGAGGAAGAGGATGAGGAGGAGCAGGAAGAGATGAAGCCTCTTGGGCCGTCTTGGCGAACTATTGGGCCGTCTTGAGGCCATCTTTGGCGGACTGAGGCGATGGTGGGGACTTTAGGCCCCTCTTGGGGCCGTTTTGGGGCGTTCTTGGGACCGTGAGGCCGCCTCTTGGGCAATCTGGGGGCCTCTTGAGGCTCTCGTGGGGCTTCTCGGCGGCGTCATGGCCCGTCTGGGGGCCATCTTGGGCGTCGTGGGACGATCTTGCGGGTCGGCAAGCTGAGTAGGAAGTTCATGTCGAGTTCCCCCGATGGGGCCCTTCTTAGGGCTGTCTAGGGCTGTCCAGGGGGCCTCGTGGGCCGACTTCGGGCCCTCTTGGGCCGTGGGCAGTGTTGGTCGCGCTGGACCTCGAAACGTCGTATAGACGCAACATGTACGTTTTCCTACGGGAATGGGGCGTTTGTTGCTTGTTGTGGCTCTCTAGGAGAGCTTGGCAGCATCTTGGGCCGTCTGGAGGTCATCTTGGGCGTCTTGGGACGATCGTGCGGGTCGGCGAGCTAGAAAGTTCAATTCGTGTTCCTCCGATGGGGCTCCTCGTAGGGCTGCCTTGGGCTGTCCAGATGGCCTCGTGGGCCGTCTTGGGGCCCTCTTGGGCCGTGTTGGACCCATGTTGGGAGTCTGTTGGGCCGTCTTGGGGCGATCTTGAAGGTCTACTGGGCAGTGTTGGTCGCGCTGGACCTCGAAACGTCGTATAGACGCAACATGCACGTTTTCCTAAGGGAATGCTTTGGGGCTCTCTTGGGGCTTTTTGGAGGCGTCTTGGGCCGTCTGGCGGCGACCGAGGGCCCCTCGGACCGTCTCGATCACGTCACGGGGCTCTTTTGGAGCGTTCCTGGGGCGCTCTGGAAAGCCTGGAAGGCAGCGCCGAGGAGAGAAACCATCTCTGCGTCTCACCTGGCCGGGACCTGCTCGAGTACTTCTCGTTCGGGGGCCCCCAGGGGCGGCCCCACGCGGTCGAACTAGAAAATTGTAAACCAGTTACTGGAGTTCTTAGCACGCTTCTGGCCCGTTGGGCCGGCGAATTCATTGTTTTGCCGATCGGCGCGGGAAGCGAAAGGTGAGCAGAGTCCTGCTATCCCTCCTCCCTACCCCAAACCCCCTCGCGTCGTGAAAAAATCACGACCGGAAGTTTTCACTATCTTCTGCTTCGGAGGGCCCTTACCGGGCCTCGGGACCGTCGAACAACCACTCAGGATGAAAAACCGGTCCTGGGGAATGGGTCCAGACCTCTGGGGGTCGACGTTGTGCAAAAAAACACGACGTCGGGGGCCTGGGACAGTTGGGGGCCCATGCCAAGAAACATCCTGCTTGCCTCCATGGTGCCCTCGGTTTCGTGGGTTTCGATGGTTTTGCTGTGGGAAGCGTGGCGCTCCCACACCAGAATCCAATTTGGACGTCCTGGGGTCTCAGGGTTGGGTTTCTTGTGGAAGGTTTCTGGTGGACTGGCCTCCACTGTACCGTCGAACCTCGGCAGTACGGATGAGGTGCTTCTTCGGGGCTGCCCCTGCATCGCTGCCTGCTCGGCCCGCCCGCGGTGCCGCGAGTGTTTCAAGGCGGGCCTCCCCTGGCCTTGCATCCCTCCCTGATGTCCGGCCGTGCAGTGGGTGCGCAGGCTCCGGGGCTGCACAGGTCGGCCCACAACGAGGCCCCGGAGGAGCAGGTCTACACCAAGTATTACACGGTCCATCTCGATCTCAAGGATTCGCACAAGCTGGGCTGGCACCTCAACGCCAGCAACGACACGAGCCTGGTCACGGTCGACAAGATCATGTCCAAAAAGGGTCACCCCATAGCAATGTACAACGCGGCCAATCCCACCAACGCGGTGCAGGTCGGCGACAACGTCGTCAGGGTGAACAACGTCACTTGGCACGGCAACGCCAAGAAGTTCGTCGAGCGCATCGACAAGGAGTTCGCGAGGGCACGGCCTCGCAAAGGAGGGACCCCGCACAGTACGTCCTTGGAGCTGCTCATGATGCGGCGCCTCGTCCAGCCGATCGCGAAGGAGCCCGGATCGTCGGCGCTCCCGGAGGGGAAGTGAGACGGGGCGGGCCTTCTCTCGGGGGCGGCAAAGAGGGGGGTGATGACTAGGGGGGGGTGGATATCATGGCGTGGGCCATGATATGTCGCCAGATCTCATGGCGCCTCTTCTTGTTTCATTGCGTCTCAGGCCTCCCCCCCCTTGGCCGCGCACATGCCGCCGGCCATGATTTGCACCCCCCCCTCTTGGACGCCCCCCTCTTGGCCGCCCACAATTCTCAGAAGGCTCGGGCCTTCTGGTGTTCGGAACCTTCCCCCAAGGCGCAGAAGACCTCGCAGAAGGGTGGAGGCCCTCTGAGAAGCCCCGCCGCCTTCTGAGACGGCCTTCTCCTCATTTACCCCCCTCGCTCGCCACCAAGTGGTGTCCCGTTGGTTTCTCGGTGGTGTCCCGTTGGTGATCCGTCGGCGGTGGGTGGGCGGTGGTCGTGGGTTTCTTACCTTGGTGCCGATAGTGAAGTCGATAGTGAGATCAGTAATGAGATCGTTAGAATGGGAGGGGTAGTGAGATCAATCTAAGATCGATATAGTGGTTCATTGTGACATTGGTTGTGAGACGTCCCCCCTCGCTCACCGCCGAATCTTGAAGAGGGAGACCCAGTGCACCACGCCGGGCCCCGGGCGGCAGGGATCGCGTCGCGTTGATGCGGCGGCGACCTCCGTTCGAGCTTTGAAGGCTGAACGTCGCCGGTGGCCTGGAGCGGGGGCGTATCGCCGATCAATCGGCGATGCATCGCCGATCCCAGCTCGACGTTTCTCCCCCTATGCCAGGCCCCACCCTATCGTTTCTCTTCAACCTACGGATAGAAGAGCGATACGAGGGTAGAATTACGTTGTTTGAGGCCCCAGGTGTCCCTAGGGCCCCATCCCTAGGGCCCCGTCCCTCAGCGTGCCTGCATCGGCGTCGCCCCAGGATGCTAACTTAATTCTATGTGTGCGTCGCCTCCCCAGGGGGGGCGCGCGCACCAAGAAATCTTGAATGGCATATGCGTCGTAGCGGGCGCCTTCTGGCAACACCGCTTGGGACACGATGTGCTACAAGAGGGGTATATTACATGCTCGGGTCGGACGCGCGCCTCCGAGGAGGACATATAGCACTAGTGGTGTCTTGGTGCGTCCCATCCTCCCCTTCCTCCTCCTCCTCCTCCTCCTCCTCCTCCTCCTCCTCCTCATCCACCTCCTCCTCATCCACCTCCTCCAGGACACATAGTAGTATCAGTACGTCCCAGTGCGTCCTAATGGCATCGGCCGATTTCGAACGACCCGCGCTGTCGGAGAATGCCGCGGCCGCTCAACGGAGTCGTCCCAATGGCATCGGCCGATTTCGAACGACCCGCGCTGTCGGAGGGTGGATAGGCATAGGGGGGGGGTGCATCGACTCCAATCGTCCATTGGTCGCCGATAGGGACCCGACAGCCCCACCCCGCCCAGGAAGGTGCGGATGCACTGTCGGGGGTCTATCGACGATGTATCTCCGATTCCAAGTTGATGCATCCCCCCCTTTGCCTATCCCCTCCGATCGTTGCCCCTCACAGGAGTGGACTGTCACGGTCCCGGCAGAGGAGGGAGGGGTTTTGGGCTGGCAGTTGAACTACAGCGAGGATTCGTTCCCTCTCACTGTCGCCAAGGTCCGCAACAGTGGAGCAGTGTTCGAGTTTAATCAGGATCACCCCGATTCGAGAGTAGTACCCGGCGACGTCATAGTCAAGGTGGATGCCGGCCACGCAATCGGCGAATCTCTTTGGCGCGAAGACTCGTCGAGTTTCGAGAAGCGCCTGAACGAGTTATTTTCGAAGGCGAAGAAGATTGGCAATATTTCTTTTTTCATGAGGAGGCCTGAAGGAGTGAGAGACACTACCAATGATGCCGCTGCGGACAGGCCTTTCTTCAGGGAGTTCATAGTCAACCTGCCCGTGCAGAAAGCGCTGGGCTGGCAGCTCCAATTTGAAAACGACACGAGCCCACTCTCGGTCGCCAAGATCCGGGCCACGGGCGCGGTGCACGACTGGAACGAGAGGAATCCGCTGAACGACATCCAGGTCGGCGACCACATTGCCAAGGTGAATAACGTCTTTTGGCACAACAACACAGAGTCGTTCTTGGCCAAGGTCAATCTCCAGATGAAGCTCGCGCGCGAGGCCAAGCTGCCAGCCAAGCCGGTCGTCCAGCTGCTCGTGCAGAGGCCGTGGCGCACCTACGCGACCGAGTCCACCGTGTCGACAGAGGACTCCAGCGGGGACGCCGCTGGGGCGAGCGAGGAGGACGACCTGGGGGCCGTGAACTGAAACCGGGGAGGCCTTCTCGACTGCATGTGTCCAGGCCTCACAAGTTCGGGTCGGACGAAAGAGGGGGATAGGGAAAGGATGGGGCTACGAAATCTGGTGCATGTAGCCAGTTTCGGCGCCGGGAGGCTCTGGGGAAATCAGCTGCGTGAGCGGATGTGCTACCTCCCCCCTGTACAAATCCCCTTTACGTCCGACCCTACAAAGTGAATCCGAGTAGATGGTGTCGGAGGGTCGCGCTGCATCGGCGATGCGGCTCGATGTGGAGCCGGATTTTCTCAGTGCCGATGACACCGATGACGCCGATGACGCCGATGGCGATGCATGGGCGATGCGGCGAGAGCCTCCAACCCCATCTACTCGGACCTGCGGCCTCCAATTCTAATGGGGTCGGGCGGGGCCCGCCAGCCCGCTTGGTCCAAAAGACTGGACGTTGTACTTTCACAGCTGCCGCGTCTTCTCCCTCCCTGTTCTCCTCCTCTTCTCATGCTCGTTGGAGCGCTCGGAGCCAAGAATCATGCACCTCATCCCCATCCTCTCCTCCTCGTCCCTTCCTATTCTCCTCCTCCAGCTCTGTGTCCTCCCTATCCTCCTTCCCCCTCCTTATCTTCCTCATATCTCTTACCTTCTCCCTTCTGGCTCAAACTGTTTTAGCCGAACTCTCACAGGGCAGCCGTGTCAGGCACCCATTGCTGGGCGCTCCACATGTGGCTGCCAAGCAATGACCGGTCTCATACACCTCCGCATCTCTCCGCATGCACGTGTCCCTTGTCGGCAGTGCGTGGCAGCTGAGGAGATCCCTGTGCTTTGATGTGATTGCCCTTGCCAGTCGTGTGCTGCTCTGGAGTGTCGTTGGTGGATGTGGGCTCACAAGCCTCCTCGTGCGACTCGCATTCTTTACTTACCAAAAGAAAGAATTGGAGAGGCGGAGGCCCTGGCCTATCCATTCACGGTCGGGATTTGTTGGGGACAATTTGCGTCGCTCCGCTGGCTTTGGCCCACGACGGCCTCGGCGCGACACGCTACCCACTTGCCGGTCACAACGCGTTAGCATCCCGCGTTTTCCCGAGCCTTGTGCCCCGCGGAGCGAAGCGACACGCTGTCCGATTGCAAAGCGCAGCGTGTCGCCGAGGCCACCGTGGCGACACGCTATGCAACAAATCTTGACCGTATGCATGCATCCCACCCTTGATTATTACAGCCAGCCCGCATAGCAAGGATGGGCAACCTTCCCAATGGTGCCCTTGCATCCTGGCCTCCTCGGCCCATCCTTGGCCACTTTAGTTGGCCGCGCCCCTCTCGAGAAGCTTCGAAAGGGACGTCCAAGGCTCCCGCATCCGTATGGTGCCTTATGATGTCCCAGTCTACTTTAGCCTTATAGTTTCGACCACCAAGAATGTACCGACACTTAATGGTTTTCACGCGTGGGGCCCTGGGAGGCGATACTCGTTCGACACTGTTTCGATACTTTTCGGAGTGCTCGAAACTGTTGCTGTGATGTTGTCCTTACGCGACACGCAGAAGCAGATGCGATGCCGGCGGCTTGATGCAATCACCATGGAGGTTGTTGCGACGGGGTCCAAAATGATAGACGGAAAAGGACGAGGAGGAGGATCAGGAGGAGGCACTGGACGACGATGAGAAGGACGATGAGGAGGAGGGGGAGGAAGTGAAAGGGGCGGAACGGTGATTGTGATGGTGATGATGATGTTGATGCCGATGCGGATGCGGATGCTGGTGCTGGTGCGGGTGCTGAGGTTTATGATGATACTGATGGTGTTGGTGATGGTGATGATGGTGATGGTTATGATGTTGATGATGGTGATGCTGATGCTGATGACGATGATGATGATTATTGCAGTGGTGGTGGTGATGGTGGTGGTGATGGTGGTGGTGTTGTTGGTGATGAATGGTGATGCTGAATATGTTACTGTTGTTGGTGATGATGATTGTGACCGACCTAATGATGATGATGATGATGATGATGATGATGATGAGGATGATCATGATCATGATCATGATGAAGATGATGATGATGATGATGAAGATGATGATGATGATGATGACGATGATGACGATGATGTTGCAGCTGATGATGTTGCAGCTGATGACGCTGATGATGCTGTAGGCGATACTGATGACGGTGATCGTGATCAGGGGTGGGATGTTGGTGATAACGGTGTGAATGAGTATGAGGGTGGGGGGTCATGAGGGGAATGCGGATGATGATAATTCCGATGAAGAGGATGCGGGATGATGGTGCTGATGATGTTGCTGTTGCTGCCGATGCTGATGACTATGCGGCTGTCGATGCTGATGATGACGCCGATGGGTGTGGCGATGCTGCTTCTTGATGATGATGATGATGATGATGATGCTGCTGCTGATGATGATGCTGATGATGATGAAGGTGATGATGATGATGATGATGATGGTGATGATGATGAAATGATGATGATGATGATGATGATGATGATGATGATGATGATGATGCTGATGCTGATGCTGATGATGATGATGATGATGATGATGATGATGATGATGATGATGATGATGATGATGATGATGATGATGATGCGGATTGTGATGACGATGCGGATTCAACGTGTGATGCTGTTGTTGTTGTTGTTGATGCTGATGGTGATGAGTGATGAGGTTGAGGATGCGGATGATGATGCTGACGACGATGCTGACGATGTCTATGATGGTCATGGTGATGTTGGTGATGATGAGTTTGAGGAGGAGGAGGAGGAGGAGGTCGAGGAGACGGAGGAGGAAAAGGAGGGAGGACCATAAGGGATGTGCGCGCGGGACCATGGGAGGCGGAGGAAGAGGAGGATGAGGACGACGACGGGGAGGAGGAGAATGTGCGATGCCAACGCTCTGATGCAAGTAGCACGCCTGTCCCTGTGGTGGGGTCTGTTTGGAGTGCCTACGGCGAATCACCGTCGACCCCTGCCTTTCAGGATACGCCTGCGTGGCCAAGCGCGAAGCCCTAGGAGGAGTCTCAAAGAGAACCGAAAACCAATAGACGTAGAGCACGCTAGGCACCCCTGTGGCACGCCAACAGGAGGTGGCTGATCGAAGACGCCTACCGGCGAATCACCGCCGCCCCCCGCCTTTTTGGAAGCGCCTATGTGGCCGAACGTTGAGGCCAGACCTGCCAAGCTATCGGACCATATGTTCCTCGAATCGGTTTTGAAAGCCTTCGGGGAACACGTGGGCATCTTGAAGGTCATTTTGGCCGTCTGGAGGCCATTCTGACCCTTTCGGGCCTTCTTGGAGGACGTCTTGGAGGGCTCTTGGGCCGTCTTGGAGGCCATCTTGAGCGTTTTGGAGGCCTCTTTGGCCGTTTTGGGAGCCTCTTGGGGCCGTCTTGGGCGATCTTTGGGGGCACTTGGGCCGTCCCGGGCCGTCGGAAGGCAGAAGAAAAGCACATGCAGCAATCCTTCAAACACTCTGGGGAAATCAATGATTTTGGCTTTTTCGGGCCTTCCTGGAGGCCCTCTTTTGGAGGCCTCTTGGGCCGTCTTGGAGGCCTCGTGGGGGCCTCTTGGGCCCATCTAAGGCCGTCTTGGGGGCATCTTGTGCCGTCTTGGAGGCATCTTGGGGCCATCTGAGCCGTCTTGGAGGCCATCTTGGGCGTCTTGGAGGCCATCTTGGCCGTCTTGGAACCCATCTTGGGCGTCCTGGCGGCCTCTTGGGCCGTCTTGGGGCCCTCTTGAGGCTTTCTTGGGGGCCCCTTGGGCCGTCACGGGGCCATCTTGGAGGTCTCTTGGGCGATCTTGGGGCGAACTTGGGGGCCTCTTGGGCCGTCTCGGGCCATCGGGAAGCCGAAAAAGCGCAAATGTTAAATTCCTTCAAATACCTAAGACAAACCAATGAGTTTGGCCTCTTCGAGCCTTCCTGGAGGACCTATTGGAAGCCTCTGGGTCGTCTTGGAGGCATCTTGCGGGCCTTTTGGGCAGTCTTGAGGCCATCTTGGGCCGTCTTGGAGGCATCTTGGGGCCATCTTAGCCATCTTGGAGGCATCTTGGAGGGTACCTTGGCCGTCTTGGGGGCCATCTTGGGCGTCTTGGAGGCCTCTTGGGGCCGTCTTGGCGCCGTCTTGGAGGCCTCTTGGGCCGTCACGGGGCCATCTTGGAGCCCTCTTGGGCGATGGTGGGGCCATCTGAGCCGTCTTGGAGGCCATCTTGGAGGCATCTTGGAGGGCATCTTGGCCGTCTTGGGGGCCATCTTGCATCTTGGGCGTTTTGGAGGCCGTCTAGGGTACATCTTGGGCCGTCTTGGAGGCATCTTGGGGCCATCTGAGCCGTCTTGGAGGCTATATTGGGCGTCTTGGAGGCCATCTTGGCCGTCTTGGAACCCATCTTGGGCGTCCTGGCGGCCTCTTGGGCCGTCTTGGGGCCTTCTTGGGGGCGCCTTAGGCCGTCACGGGGCCATGTTGGAGGCCTCTTGGGCGGTCTTGGGGCGAACTTGGGGGTCCCTTGGGCCGCCAGGGGCCGTCGGAAAGCCGAAACGGCGCAAATGCCACAATCCTTGAAAAGCGTAAGGACAATCAATGATTTCGGCCTCTTCGGGCCTTCCTGGAGGACCTCTTGGAGGCCTCTTGGGCCGCCTTGGAGGTCTCGTGGGGGCCTCTAAGGCCATCTTGGGTGCATCTTGGGCAGTCTTGGAGGCATCTTGGGGCCATCTGAGCTGTCTTGGAGGCCATCTTGGCCGTCTTGGAGGCCATCTTGGGCGTCCTGGAGGCCCCTCGGGGCGTCTTGGGGTCCTCTTGGGGCCGTCTTGGGGGCCGTCGGAAAGCCGAAACGGCGCAAATGCCAAAATCCTTCAAACACCTCAGACAAATCAATGATTTTGGCCTCTTCGAGCCTTCCTGGAGGACCTATTGGAAGCCTCTGGGCCGTCTTGGAGGCATCTTGCATGCCTGTTTGGGCAATCTTGAGGCCATCTTGGGCCGTCTTGGAGGCATCTTGGGGCCATTGGAGGCCATCTTGGCC